CCATGTCTGCTGCGGGCCGGGCTGCGCCACCTCAGCGGGGACCCGGCTTTATTGCTCTTTCCCCGGCAATTTCCCGGTTTCTCCGACACCGCTGTGGTCTAACCCATAGATAGAGCTGGTGGGGCTGGCGGGCCGGCACGGAGGGAGCTGTTCCCGGAGCAGAGTCGGTGGTGCCACAGCGGGATGTACCCAGACAGCAACAGAGCAGGCTGCACCCGCAAGGAACCATCCCCTCCGTGCTCCGGCACAGCTAGCGAGAGACAGCAGACACAAGCCTGTGAGAAATGAGTTTTACTTTTAAAAGTTTAATAAGGGATAAAAGGGACGGTGAACAGTGTTGGGTGCTTGGCCAACTGCCAGAAGCACGCTAGTTTTGAAATAATTTTCTTACCTACTTTATCATTGCAATGGTCACATGCACATTTATGAAGATTATACATATTCATGAGTTTACAAGTTCCGGGAATTCTTTTGCTTGGTTTGACCTTTCACCTCTCTTAAAATTTCGTGCCAACATATTGCAGGTGAAATCCATGTATTCTATTTCCTCACAAGAAATTCTGTGGTTTGACAGTTCCTGGTAACCGAAGAGTTAGTAAATTCCTCCTTGCATTCCTTCTTTTGATGTTTATTTACCTGGGTTTTTTTCAGTGTTATCATACAGATAAGATACTCTATATGTACATTAAATCAACCTTAGCTAGTTCACAACGTTGAGTTATTCTCACCATTGTCAGTTACACAAATAAAGGTATTTAGCTACTTCTTCAAAAGTTAACATTACAATGCACAACACGTAGTCTCTATTTTACTATTTTGCGAAAGCCTAAACTATAATATACATTTATCTACACGTGGCCAGGGCATTGGCCACTAAAACTAACCAATTACACCATATTAAAGCAGTTAATTACAAGCTATACTATACCAAAATCATTACGATCAATAACAACTTGCAAAAACCAATACCTAACAACAAAACCCAACAGCTACACAGTTATTTATAACAATCCCAAAGGAAAAAGAGAAGATTACCAGCAGGATGGGCTGTCTCCTGCCCTTAAGGAGAGAGTGAGACGTAGATGAGGGTGGCTGCGATCATGCCGATGCTGAAGAGCACCGTGAGGATGTGGGGCACGGCGCTGGAGCAGGCAGGGTGGCCGCTGGCCTGGGGCTGCAGGGCCCTGACCACGCGCTGCTGCTGGGTGAGGATGGCCTCCCTGGCCCCCGGCCACGCGCCCGGGCCCCGCAGCCGGTACTGGTACGGCGTGCAGGGCCCGAAGGCCACCTCCATGGCCAGCTTGGGGTCTGTGAGGAACAGGGTGAGCAGGTTGGGCTTGACTCCCAGCTGGCAGGCGAGCTCATCCATGTAAGGGATGTAATCCACCTGGATGGTGTGGCGCTGGCTCTTCACGTACCTGTGGGCAGGGAGGGAGGGTTGGTTTGATGCGGGGGCACCGGGGGTAAGGGTGGCAGGGCGGTGCTGTGCAGGGGCCTTACCGCTCAGCCATTCTCTGCTTGGTTTGTGTGATTTCAGCCAGCATGTCGGTGGGTGGCGGCAGGCCCTGCAGCCCTGGACAAAACGAGGCTGGAGCTGGAGGGTGGGCTGTGCTTCTGCCATAGTCTGGATGGCTCTGCAGCCCAGCCTGACCTCTGTTTGCATGTGGGGCTTTCCTGGGACATGCCACCACGTCAGGAGCAAAGTGGGAGACATGGGCAAAGAAAGTAACAGCAGGAAAGGGAGGATGTGGTTGCAGGCAACAGGACCAGTTGGTGGCCCCCACAGGAAAAGAACAGGGCAAAAGTTGTAGAAAATTGCAGAGCAGGGTTTTGGCCTCATGAAGAAGCAAAAGGAGGATAAAAAGATGAGTGTGGAGGGGCAGCATATGAGGGGATGCCACCAGCAACGACTCAGTCTTGGCATGGCTGGGGGAGCCCAGCTGCATCCCTAAACTGGCCTGACTTACCTTTGAAGACACGGGTGGCCCAGCGACACTGGAGCTCGGAGATGGGCATGATGGCACCCAGGGGCTGGACAAAGCCAATGAAAGCCAGTGTTGGCTTCTCCAGGTCAGGGGGGAACATGAATTTGTAGAGGGGAATCTGGTTCTCCACCACCTTGAAGCCCTCGAGGAACGGGAAGGAGAAGCTGTATCCCGTGGCAAAAACTACGGCATCGACGTCTTCCCTGGTGCCATCCTCAAAGATGGCAGATGTCTCCATGAACTCCTGGATGTTCGGCTTCACCCGCACCCGGCCCGAAATGATGCGGTTGGGCAGGTCATCGTTGATGGTCAGGTGCTGGTGAAGGACCCTGGAAGGCACAGACAGACCTCGTTCAGGCCCTGGCAGGGAGATGGGCATTGCTGGAGCAGGTACCTGGGGTGCTGCTGGGGCGCTCACCGGTGCTTGGGCTTTAGGCCATAGAGAGTGTGGTCAAAGCGGGCGTTCAGCTTCCGCTCCAGGAAGAAACTGATGATACTCAGGGGCAGCAGGTTCTGGAGGAGCTGCATGAAGCGGCTGATGTAGCAGAAATCAAAGGGGTACCCGCTCTCCGCTACTCGGTGCAGCACCCAGGACCCGTGCCTGGTGCTGAGGAAAACCTGGAGGGAAGGTGAGAGGTGGTGGCACGGCAGCATCCTCAGACTGGGCTGGGCCCCTGCTGTGCTCCAGGGACAGGGAAAACAGCACAGCTGCTGGGACCACAATAGCCACCCCCACAGAGAGGGGACAGGGTGCTTGTGGCTGGGTGCTGGAGGGAGGGGAGCCCACAGGGGATGGAGGGGGAGCACCCGTGTCCTCTGGGGTCCCATCCCTGTGAGCTCTCCCAGCACACCTGCTTGGCTGCGTGGCTCAGCTCCACTGCAATATCGATGCCTGAATTCCCAACGCCAACCACGACCACCTGTTTTTCCATGAAGGGCTGAGGGCTCTTGTAGTCCCGGCTGTGCAGATAGCAGCCCTCAAACTTTTCCAGCCCTGGGAGAGAGAGGGAAGCCATGCTGGGCTGGGATGTGGAGGAGAAGGGTGGCTGCCTCCTGTTCAGACTGGTGGTGTATTTTGGGAACAAGCTAGGACCAGTGTGACCAACAGGAGTTATGCAGCCCTGGGGTAGTGCCCAGAGAGGTGGTGGCATCACCAGCATGGAAGATTCTCAGCGTAGCCCTGAGCATCCTGCTCTGGCTTTGGGACTAGTATGGCTTGGAGCAGGGCTTGAACTGGAGAATTTATTGCCTCCATCCCAAAATTCTGCTGCAGGTCCTGTCTGGTGCCATGCATTGCCAGTAGAGGAACAACCACAGGGTCTGTGTCACCTCACCAGACCCTGGTGACAGTGTGCTCCAGCCTGTTCCCAGCAGGAGAGGGTCTCCACAGCTGAAAGCTCTCCAGGCATTTCCCCCTGGCTCCCAGAGGCAGGACCACCTCACCAGCCTTGGTGAGGAGCTGGAGAGCCCAGCAGGTGCGTGGCCAGCAACATGAGAGGGAGCCTGTCTCAGGTGGGAGAGGCACGCTGGCAGCGGTGACATCTTTGGGTGCTTTGGACACTCATGCCGTCCCACCTGGTGTGTTAAACTGCAAAGGCACTTAGGGATGTCAGGGAGCAGGGGAGCAGCTCACAGGGCAGTACCTGGGAAGGAACCGAGCGGGAGATGTGCGTCGGTGTGGTGCCCACTGCACACCAGCACGGCGTCAAAGACGGCCGCCTCCTGCTTCCCCTGGCTCTCCGTCACCACCTCCCACTGGCCGCTGCTGGCGAAGTCGGGACGCTTGGACACGCGGCACACGCTGGTCTGGGCGCGGGGGCAGCGGTGTCAGGCACCCCGTGCCCCCCGTTCCCGCTGCCACCCGCCCCTCGGGCCCCAGCTCTCACCCTGAAGCGGATGTGG